TATCCAATAAAGTTGTAATACGAAGGCATCTACGCCTTGATTGGTGTGAAGTTGAAAGCTATTAAAAGCTTTACTTATGTTTTGCGTTGTGAAACGGCAATTAGGCTGGCTGTGACATGCAGCAGCAACGCGAGAGCGCGTTGGTTATCAGAATGGCCGTGTCAGAGATTAGGTTATAATAGAACACGGTGTAATTTGTTTGATTACAATGGCAACACTACGTTATGGCAACACCACGCAATATCATAGACATCTTGGTTGTAAAGTGTCAATTGTCAAAGTCGAGCTGTCAGTAGTGCGTAGAATCGGTCGTGAAGAGCTTGAGTTGCTTTCCGATCGGCGCCTGCGCCGGATGTGCGCACTGACTGTGTTTAAATAAGTAATAATGTACGACGACGGTAGTGATACCAACTTTGTAATTATTAATCTTGTCGAATCTCCGACATATACATACATATATGTTAAATGAAACACTTATTTAATTTTGTTGTGACTCGAACAAAATTTACGTGGCTTCAATACTAGTACAATCGACCTTTTTGGACATTATCGGAAACAAAAATGTTGTATTACAATCTATGAGTGTGGAAAAACCTAAAGGCTAATTTTGCCTTCAAGTGTGCGACGATTGCTAACATTTAGTTTAGGCGTCTAATGATTAATTAAAATATGGCTAGTCTGGCCATAAATACTGTTACATAAAAACTTTTCTTTCTTTCAACTTTTTAATTATTTTGAATTTGGAACACGTTTAATATTATTTTAAAAACTTCTTTTGATTTTTCACATATTTTTTCGTTTTCATTATCAAATTACAATATGGAATGGGGTATTAAAGAGAATAGGATTGCAGTGATCGCCTTGCACAGTGGGTTGGTCGTCGCAGTCAAATTCCAGACACTTCAAAAGCTTGGTATCAGCTGTATGTTCGTATATCGTACTATCAACAGATAGGTACAACAAACATATTAAAGGCCTGTATAAAAGCCAAAGATTACCATTTCAAATAGAATGATGTTTTTTTTGTTGAGACTTTAATAAATATGTAGGTATAAATTTTAATAATATTACATTAATTAATTAAATTAATCAATGGCGCTACAACCTTTTTAGGTCTGAGCCTCAGATTTCTGTATCTGTTTCATGATCATTTCGTAATCTAATAGGCAAGTAGGTGATCAGCCTTCTGTGCCTGGCGCACGCCGTTGACTTTTTGGGTCTAAGGCAAGCCGGATTCCTCGCGATGTTTCCCTTCACCGTTCAAGCGAATGTTAAATGCGCACATAGAAATACATTACATTGGTGCACGGCTGGGGATCGAACTTACGACCTCAGGGGAAAATGCGCTCTCATTTGTAACAGAACTTATGGCTGGACTACGTGTAATATAACTAATGTTAGGTTACATAACTCACGTGATAATATTATTTTGATTTAACCTGTGTAGTGTACTACTAAGCAACAAACCTGTTAAAAGGTTGTAATATTGAAATTTAAGTACATAATATAACATATGGGCTTGGCGCTAACATTTGCCCATAAACAACAAAGAAACCATGTTAAAAAGCAGTTTAATTCAATTAAATGACCATGACTATAAATGTAACAATGTCTATTCATGAACAACCTTGACACGAATGTCTTGCACCAGATTTGGGCAACAGCCGTCATGATAAAACTGAATCAGCGTAAAAAGAAGAGTATACCCAAACTCAAAATAACTTTATTCATATAGATAACCAAGTACACTACTGAATGTCAACAGAAAAGATGTTAAATTGATTCTAAATTTACATTTACTACCAGTTCGCAAGTCAAGGGCGTAGCGGGCAAGAAGACCTGGCAAGAAACTCTCCGCCACTCTTTTTAATCGCCAAGTTTGAGTGATACAAACTGTTTAAACTGGAGCAAATCAATTCCAAGGATTATTTAAATCGTCAAATTTATAGAAAGCTTTATTGATTAATTTTCGGTTAACAAGATTTTATATATTTTTTTTACATTTTTGGTACAGAAACAGGAAACAGATTGATTAAATACATACAGTTATTATATATATATACTATATATGTGAATACCACCGCGATAAAAGTTATAGAGAACATTATTAGAGAAGTATCTATAAAGCTTTTTCAATTGCTTTAAAAGCGGAAACAATATAAATGCCATAAAATCATTGAAGATTCGTAGAATATAGGTCAGCAGCTGATCAGGCAAATGGAGCGTGACGAAAGGAAACACCAGGAACGGCTGCGGTAATAAATTATACCGGAACAAGGCACACCAAATGTAAAAAAATAACAGACGGATATTTCGCTTTAAATTATATTTTATCAACTAATAAGTATCTATATAGGGCAGTGTTGGCCTAGTAGCTTCAGCGTGCGACTCTCATACGTGAGGTTGTAGATTCGATCCCCGGCTGTGCACCAATGGAATTTCTTTCTATGTGCGCATTTAACAGTTGCTCGAACGGTGAAGGAAAACATCGTGAGGAAACCGACATGTCTTAGATCCAAAAAGTCGACGGTGTGTGTCAGGCACTGGAGGCTGATCACCTACTTGCCTATTAGATGGAAAAATTAAACAGATTCAGAAATCTGAGGCCAAGACCTAAAGAGGTTGTAGCGCTACGGATTTTTTTTTAATAAGTATCTCAATACAGCGAGGAAAAGCTGCCAGCGATAAAGGTGCACTGCCACAGGGACCAAACTTTTTACATTTTTTTTAATTTTTATTAATTTGTAGGTTAATGCTAAATACAGTATATTTGTGTGAAGTATAAAAACATTAAACGTTTTTAGTATGTTAAGAATACTTATTATATGTTCCATCTACATGGAACCAACAACAGAGCTGGTGCGGCTTGTGAAGCGGCTGAAATAGCTAAAGTATGCAAATACAGGGGTTTAGGCTCCGAATATGATTTTGTCCCATTCGGTATCGAGACCCTTGGTCCGTGGGCTCCTAGAGCTTTTAAGGAAATAGCAAAAAGGTTAGTCAACATCACAGGATACCGAAGAGCTGGCAGCTACCTCGGACAAAGAATTAGTCGAGCTATTCAAAGGGGGAACGCTGCCAGTATCTTCGGAACCTTGCCTAATGGGACTCCTTTTAATAATTTATTTTAGTTTAAAGAAAACACTTTTTTACCAGATTGAAGTTATGTATTATTATAAACTTATAATTATTTTACATAATTAAATTTTTTTCCGACGTTTCGCGTGCTTTACAGCGTGCGTGGTCACGGTGACTGTATTGATTTGTATTGATAACTTCAATCCGATAAAAAAGTGATTTTTTTAAATGTGTAGAAGTTATGTTAATAAAAGACAATACTATATTTTAGTTATTCAATTTTAAGGTTAGTTATTTTTTTTTGTTATATTAATAATTTATGTTGTGTCCACTGTCATGTCATTTGTTATTGACATTTTAACCTCTCTTAAATTTACTATTGTGTGAAATTGCAAAAAATTTCGTTGTTGTGTTCGTTCGAAGTTCAGAAGATCTTCATCAGTGGAAATGTTGTCGGAGTTCGTTACACATACACCAATCGTCTAAACATTGTAAATATATTGTTTTTTAAAATGTGTTTTATAAATATTTACATACACGTGAAAAGTTGTAAATTTTTCGCACCTCATCTGTTCGTTCATGCCCTCGCCCTGCGAATCTATTTCAGACAGTTGCCGGACGCCCTACATTGCGAATATAGACATTCTATTTTTCAAATACTGCTACATATATCCACACAGTATCATGTGGCGCTACAACCTTTTTTAAGTCTGGGCCTCAGATTTCTCTGTTTTATGATCATTTGTCAATCTAATAGGCAAGCAACCAGCCTGATTCACGCCGTTGCCTTTTGTGAATCTGAAGCAAGCCGGTTTCCTCACGATGTTTTCCTTCACCGTTCGAGCGAATGTTAAATGCGCACATAGAAATAAAGTCCATTGGTTAACAGCCGGGCATCGAACCTACCACCTCAGGCATGAGAGTCGCACGCTGAAGCCACTCGCTAAAGTTAAAATCGATTAAATTCAAGTCTGAAGGTTCGAAAAAAAATTAACGGCCCGCTTAAATAGTGATACCTAGCGAGATCGAATTCACGACATTTAGTTAAGAACAGACGGCAATTTAATGAGGTGGAAAATGTAAAAGTAAAAACGTAAAAAAAGTAGTCCAAAAAACCCAAAAACAAGAGGGCCACCGTACCTAAAAGACCCTTGAGGCTGAAACTTCTAAAGCATTTTCTATTCTACCGATCTCCGTTTGCAACTTTGGCTTGTGGATTTCGTGGCCGACCTGAAAATGACCTGCATTTTCCAGGATTGCCTATTCGTTACTTTAGGCTGAATACCTAATAAGAGACTGAGACCCACCACTTCTGATAAATAACTAACAAGAATACATTTATTCAAGGGCAGCAAATATAAAAAAGTATGGCTAATAAAATATCGTACCAATTCTTAAAACGCCGCCAACGCACTTGTGAGCCTGCTGGAAATGTGAGTGTCACTTAACATCAGGTCAGCCTCCAGCCCGTTTACGTCCTATTACATAAAAAAAAATGTATAGTCCTTTTCATGAAAGAAGTCCCGCGGAGATTTTTGGAACTAAATTTGACAGGTCGGCCATGTTGTCGTTCGTCGATGTTATCAAGTTCGTTTGTTGTGGTAGATTTTTGTGAGTTTTTAACTAGCTTAGTGCATTTTAAAGATTGTTTGCATTGCCAAAAGTTGTAAAAGTTCCCTTTGAGAGGAAGATGCGCTAGAAACGCTAGCTGTCAAACATTTCATTTCGTCAGAAACACAGATTAAAATACCTCACTATAGTCTGTACCTGTCAAACATACGCATTACGCATATATACAAAACATGCTTCAATATCTCCCAGATTTCATTTCGCCCAGTTATCATTACGACGTCTCCGTTCAATTAAAGGTTGTTCTAATAATTCGTCCGAATAAATTTGTGCAGTTCAATTAATTGTTAAATATGTGGCAGCTAATTGTTTTAGTGTTATCGACGTCAACTGTGATTTCTCATGTATTACCATCGCCTGCAAATAGTTATCGTAAGTAATAATCGAATAGAATTGATATTTAAGATGTCTTATTGGGTTTAGGCGTTTTATTGGTGGGAATTTAATTTATATATTTCAATAATATAATAAATTATTGTTTATTTGTTCTTGTTTTTTTTATCCATATATATAAAGCTACATTAACGAGTAACATTGGATATATAACGTCCTAATCTATAATCGACATCGATATCTATTTTTAACACACAAATATACAGTATTCTTAAACTACATAGTAATAATAATAATAAAAAATTATGAATAGAAAATTAAAACAAGTTTTAAAAGTTTGCTCTGTACCTTCACTGCTGGCATTTACTCGCTGTATTGCGATACTTATTCGTTAAGCGAGGAAAGCACCAGCTCTGGGGTCACCGATACTATCTACCAGGTGCGTACTTAAATCTTTAATTAGCACCTGTGCACTTGAACCACACAACCCAAGAGTCTCTACTCCAAAATCATTCTAATCTTAAATATCAATTTAAATTTCGCGCCTTTTACTCAAACTGAATATCTATTGTCTTTGCTTTTTCTCTCTACTCTGTGACATTACAAGCTAAATACCAATATTGTCCATTATATTACTTGAATTATATTTCTCGAAGTGAACGATAGCCATCCAAGAAAGGGGAGCATAAATGATTTTTGACAGGTTTTCTCAGTATGACTGTTTGAAAGCGCTATCTGGAGGTCGAACTCTGAAACTACAGGTCGTTTTTGCCAGGATACTTTTGTCAATGAAATGGTATTGTGTTAACTGGCTTTTATATATGCTAAAATAATGTTGTTTTCCATGTAGATGACTGATGATGACGTTTTTCTGATTTTGTATTTCGTAATAACATCTTTTTTATGGTAAAGAGGTCGACTCTCTACTCTAAAACCGTGTATTTGTACCCCAGCTGTATCCATTAACTTTTCTATGGGCACAACTAATACTTGATTATACATTGAAACATCGTAAGGAAATGAACATTTAAGATGCCTCCTCAATGGTGCCTTGTACTAGATTATGATGGATTTGAATTAAGTGTCGACTCGATCAACTATTTATCTGTTACGAAAAAAAATTTAGTTCATAGATATTTTATAAAACTGTTTGCTTCAGGTATCCCAATTGATTTGTACATATATATTTTTGTCCAAAATCTTCTAGTAATCCTAGATCTATCTCTAGTCTATTTTTATATATTTCACTCTATTCTTATTAGCGTGCGACTCTCCTCACTGAGGTCGTAGGTTCGATCCCGGCTGTCCACCAAAGGACTTTCTTTCTATATGCGCAATTAACATTCGCTCGAACGGTGAAGGAAAAGATTTGCCTTTCCTGCTGATCACCTACTTGCCTATTATATTGACATATCATGAAACAAATACTGAAATATGAGGCCCAGACCTAAAAATGTTGTAGCGCCATTGATTTTTTGTTAAAATTATAGTTAAAATTTCTTTTAAGACTTAAACGTCTGCTAAAACTACATAATTAACAGTGTAAGTAAGCGTATAATGATTTTAGAATATACATACATATTTATTATAAAGAAATCTTTCAGAACGTGGGCCGTCGTACTCAGAAACGACAATAACCAACGACAGAAAACCGTTTATCGAAGTCCGAAACGCAACGTATCGTGGTAGCGGGCCGAGGGAAGAAGCGCGCGCAATGTGTTCTGTTAAAACGCAAGAAGTAAACGCCACAGCTAATGCAACAATTACAAGAAGGCTTCACGGTGTTGTTACATCTAGTAAGTGAATAATTTTATTACATATTTCATATTATCTATTCTTTGACTCATTTTTAGTATTATTTATTGATTTAAACGACAGTTTTTAAATTAAAAAATGTTTTTATTTTATTTAAATTTGCGCCATTGCATGACAAGTAATCATTAAGTCTATACAAGATTTGTCAAATGGTATGGTCTGGCCATAGACTAGAATAGCAATTTATTATTTATAACTTTCGTACTTTCGTACACGTACAGATAAAAAAAATAAAGTAAAAAATGGAATACAATGTACACAAAACGGTTTATATACATTTAAAAACTACATTAATAATGCAGGTGTTATAATAAGTACGACATGCCATGGCTCATCTTCAATGAGAATAGCCAACTCGGAAGATACAATAGTGAACAAGTGTGAGCAAGCATGGCTGTATCAATTTCATAACGCACATAGCATCGACAGCTTTAGCGAGCGAGCGGTGTCCAAACACCAGCTACCTTAAGATTTACAATCTCTTGCTAGAAAATATATCCGGCGGACGATTCTTGATGTTATAACCCAAATTTGAATATTTGTTTAAAACTGCAGATCATGTGGTCTAATAAAAGTTTTTTTTTTCAGGAGAATTTCAAACTTCTATTCAACGGTTGGAAGTGATAATATTCGGTCAAATGCAACAGTTATGGCAGAGTTTGGACGCACTGCGGGCGCAAGTTTCTGGCGAATCTCATGTCCCCTACCCAGACCGACGGAGCGTCGTGTTTAGATATAAACCATGAATTGTAATAGTCAATGTAGTGAAGATTTTCAAGAACTGTAATTCTTATATCTAATATATAGAATTGTCGCGTCACGGTGTTTGTATTTAAACTCCTTCGAAATGGCTTCACCGATTTTCGTGAAATTCTGCAAATCGGACAACATCTATTTTTCATCCCCCTAAATGTTAAGAGTGGTCCATCCCTAAATTTTATATTTATTATTTTTATGATACAGCATACAAAAATACATACAACCCTTAATTTTCACCACTCTACGATCAACCCCTATTTTTATTTGTTAATTAAAGACTTGAACTCTGAGGTTTATATTGAGAAAAACCTAAAAAGTTATCATTCCGGAAAACCAAACAGTCTCTGGGGTAGCATAGCAAAATGTTCCATGTAGGTATTTATCTATGTACTAAAAAGGTAAGCTAAGTAAAATCACATTAATAAGGAGAAACGAAGTTCGCGGGGGCAGCTAGTTATACTATATTAAGCTGGATTCACGTTTTATTATTTCATTTCTCGCCTTTTTTTTCGAGAAGGGGTGGAATTATGGGGGTGTTTCTGACGTTTTCCTATAGACTTCAAAATCAATCTGGCAAGTCAAGCTTCCAAAATAATATACAAAATTTGATGTAGATTAGTTTTTTTTCTAAATAAACGTACAAGGAATACGTTATATGAAGTTAAAATAATGCTTTACCACGCGCTAGTTGAGTCAGTCGTACAATACAGAAGTGACAAACGAGCGAGGACAGTATGTATAACATTAATAGAGGCAACGTGGGACGGTTTCAGTAAGTTTGAGCTTATTAAAGTAGCTAATAATGCTAGTATCATTACTAAGACATCATTTTTCTTCCTCTTTATTTTTGTGACCAACCAGAGGACAGCCATTTTTAGGCTGGATGCATTTTAATACAGTATTATGAGCAACACGATCATTACCATGTCGAGGTTTAGGAGGAGAGCGAGGTTTTAAAGTATTAGTAGAATTATTTCGAGATAGAGACTTCGCTGCGGAAGAATATGCGGGTTTTGGAACTTCCGGAATTGTTGAACTTAATGCATCTGCGTATGAAGGCTTAACAGAAGGAAAATATTTACTGGCTTCGACATAAGACATGCAGCTCTGAGCCATTTTAACTTTGATTTCTGTCTGTCTGACAAATTCTGGACATAATTTATCTATCGCTGAATGGGACCCTTCGACTTCACACATTACACGGGACAGAGGATCTTCATCTGACCGGTCACATGATACACCTGCATGTTGACCTCCACAATTATAACATATTGGAGTCTTAGAACGACATTGAACTTTGGTATGACCATAACGGCAGCATTTATAGCATTGTATCATACGATAAATATATATCTCTACTGGAAAAGCATCTTATTTTAAGTATTGCCGCATCCTATAGGTACGGATACATTTTGTTGAACTTCCTCTACACTACAATCTACAGGGACCCCGCGAACTAGACCCGTTCTTGTTACGCTGAAAGTGGGAATGAAGGCGTTTAATTTTTCGTATCTAAAAGATTGCAGCTAAGAAAATTATTGGCGTCTTTATAATCGGAAAAGCCTGTTTCTACGCTTTACTCTTCCGGGAATAATATTATTAAATTTGTTCTGCTTTAAAAAATTGCCAAATATTACAGAATGAAGAATGGTCCCGTCGTCAGGTGAACTTTGTATACGTTGAACATGTATTAAATAAGAGGAAACATCAGTAGGAACATATTCAGTACGGTCAATCGAACGGGAGTCCGTATTGGTTTCTGTAGCTTTGGTGTTGTTTGAATTTCCCGCGTTTTACTAGTAAAATTAAATTAAATTTTCACCACCGTGAAAAAAACGTCTATCATGAACGAAATTACCTGCGCTTTTCTCTTTCAGCTTTTATGAATGAAAAAATAGCGTATTTTTGTTAAACGGTGTCTTTTGATTCATATGAAAAAGGTTAGAATATTCTATCTTATCTTGTTTAGTATTTTAGGGATGTTGCTTGAGGGTTGATTGTTTCAGAATTATTTGGTCGATGTTAAAATAAAACTCCCTAATTACTTGTAGAGAAGAGGTGAAGATGGAATAATGAATGATATTTATTTACAAAACTGTGTACAATTATACTTAAAAATTATCCTACACTTACAACTAATATTGACATGTGGTGCCAAGATGCGGAGCGTTGATTGGTTGCGCACGTACCAGAGTAGGCGATAAAAATGCGGCGCGGCAAAAAGTTGGCCTTTTTCTGCACGCAGCCGTCTAAACGTACGAACGTGTTCTTCTCAGAACACTTCGATATCGTAGCCTTGCGATAACGCTAATAACTGTCCTTTTCAGGACAAATTATCGTATCACGACTAAACGTCTAACAACTGTCCTTTTCAGGACATATTATTCTTGTTTCGCGACGAAAACGTTTACATATTACCGTGTCTTACGACACGATGAAACTGTTCTTTTCAGAACACACGACCGTAACTATTCTGATATGTTCTTGTCAGAACACATCACTGTTTCAATACGACACGTTAATCAATCACCTACAGGATTCCCCCTCTAGCGAAGCGTACCGGCAGGCGTATAACGCGGCCTCGGCGAGTTGTCCTTGTAGGTATTGAGTTGTTCCCAATGTCTTGTTGTTTCAGGTCGTTGTCATTTTGATGTTTCAGGTTGTTATCGTTTTGATGTTTCAGGTTGTTGTCGTTTTGATGTTTCAGGCTGTTATCGTTTTGATGTTTCAGGCTATTTGATGGTTTATGTAGTTCGCTCGCACTTGATGTGATTTGCTTGTAGCAGGTACTCGGTATTGTATCAGTGGGCACATCTGGCTCGGCGATAGTGTAGGCGGGTTTGAGTCTGTCAATAGAGATATTGGTTTCGCGGTTCGGTAACTGCAGCGTGAATATCTTGCTGTCTCGTTTCAGCACGCGATAGGGTCCGTCGTAGGGTGCTTGTAATGGCTTCTTTACGGCGTCTATGCGTACGAATACATATTCACATGTCTGCAGGTCGCGGTGTATGAATATAGGTTTTGTGTTGCCGTGTGGTTGGTTAGGCATTGGTTGCAAGTTGCGTATTGCGTCGCGCAGCTGATCGATGTAGGCAGAGTCCATAATGACGTCATCGCGGGTCGTTGATAAGAAATCACCGGGTAAGCGTATGTTGCATCCGTAGGTAAGTTGGGCGGCGCTTACGCCGGTGTCACTTCGCATAGCGGCGCGTAATCCGAGTAGGACGGTTGGTAACTCGTTGATCCAGCTTCTTGCGGTCTGTAGTCTTGCCTTTAATGCGGCCTTAAGGACACGGTGCCATCTTTCGATGATACCGTTACACTGTGCATGGTATGATGTTGTACGCGTTTTTTCAATTCCGAGTAAGCGAGAAAGAGATGCAAATACTCTGCTTTCGAATTGGCGTCCTTGGTCCGTTGTTATTGTAGCAGGGCAACCGAAACGGGAAATCCAACCTTCGTACACTGCTTTGGCGACGTCTTCAGCTGTAATTTCGCATAATGGGTATGCTTCGGGCCATCTCGTCGCTCTGTCGATCATTGTCACGAGGTATCGATGACCGGTGGCCGCGGTAGGTAGCGGACCAACGATATCGATGTGAACGTGTTCGAATCGTTCGGTTGGTGCAAAAATTGATAATGGACTTGTTGTATGGCGTTGTATTTTAGCGCGCTGACACTGTAGGCATACTTTTGCCCACTTGCCGACGTCTGCGTTCATTGAGGGCCAGAAGTAGCGTTGCGTAATTAATTTCCTCGTGGTCTTTATTCCAGGGTGGCTAACGTTATGTACTGCGTCGAATGCGGTACGTCGGTATTCTTCAGGTAGGTACGGACGTATGTATGAGGTCGAAGTTTCGCAGAGTAATTTGATGTTTGACGCGGGCAGGTTTACTTCCTTGAAAGATAAGTTGCTCTGTAAACCGAGTGTTTTAATGGTATCGCTGTCGCGCTCTTGAGCTATTGCAAGTTGATTGTAGTCGATCGGCGATGGACATGTGATTGCGTCGATGCGTGATAATGCGTCTGCGGCTGCATTTTGAGACCCACTGACGTGACGTATATCAGTGGTAAATTCGCTGATATAAAGTAGCTGTCGGGTGCGTCTCGGTGATTCGCTGCTTGTATTCGTTTTTGTGTAAGCGAAAGTTAGCGGCTTGTGGTCCGTGAATATTATAATTTCTCGTCCCTCGAACATTTTTCGGAAATGTTTGACAGCCATGTAGATGGCGAGTAGCTCTCGATCGTAGGTACTATAGCGAGTCTGTGCGTCGCTGAATTTCTTCGAGAAATAGCCGAGTGGTTGCCACGAGTCGTTGATAAACTGGTTGAGTGCGGCACCAGCTGTTTTGTCACTCGCGTCGCTGAATATAGCAAGCGTCGCATGGTGAGACGGATGAGCGAGTAAAGCGGCGTATTTTATGCTCTCTTTACATGCTTCATAAGCTTGCGTCGATTCAGCGGTCCAGTCGATCTTAGTTTTGTCACGCTTCTTGATGTTGTGCAGGTAAGTATTTAGCGGCGCTTGTATGGTGGCGGCATCTTTGATATTTTCGCGGTAAAAGTTGATCATACCGAGAAAACGTCGCAGTTCCTCTACGGTTTGTGGCTTTGGAAAATCTGTGATAGCCTGTACCTTCTCTTGGGGTGGCTGTATCCCTTCCGCCGTGACTTGATGACCGAGGAATTTTACAGTTGGCTGGCCGAAAACACATTTTGATGGGTTGATGGTAATGCCGTATTCTTCTAGTCGCTGTAATACGGTGCGTAGATGTTTTCGGTGCTCTTCCTCGTCTATTGACGCGATGAGTAGGTCATCAACAAAAGGAAATACGAAGTCGAGTTCGCGCAGTACTTCGTGAATAAAACGTTGGAATGTCTGGCCGGCGTTCTTTAGACCAGGACACATACGCGGAAACTCGAAAAGGCCGAATGGTGTTATGATAGCTGTTTTCTCCACGTCTTGCTCGCTGACTGGCAGTTGTTG